AATGGCTTGGGTTGGAAGGGACCTTAAAGCTCATCCCACCTCTGCCATGGGCAGGGACACCTTCCACTATTCCAGGTTGCTCCAAGCTCCATCCAACCTGGCCTTGGATACTCCCACGGACAGGGAGTCCACAACCTCTCTGGGCAACATCATCACTCTACAGGCTCCCACCAACACTAAAAAATCCCCACATTTCCCATCCTAAACAGAGGAAGGGACTCCATGAGGGTGAAACTCCGCCTGTGTGAACTGACAGAGCTGGTTTGGATTTTGTTGTATTCCAGCCCTCGAGATATGGAACCCTCTGCAGAAGGAGTTGAACTCATGCACAGCTGTGCTGCAATACCCCAGGGAGAGACCAGCCCTGTGTCACCATGCTGTGACAAAAGAGCTGATGATTTGCCACAGGCAGTTCCAAGACAATGCTATTTTTCCAAGCCATTCTTTCCTCCAATTCCCTGTGCTGTCTGAAGTGACCACAACCAGCCCCAGCTTCAGTAGAGAGGAAACTACACCAAATTTCCAAGGGCCTGGAGTGACAGGACAAGGGGGAATGGCTTCACCGCTGCAGAGGGCAGGGTTAGATGGGATATTGGGAAGGAATTACGCCCTGTGACAGCGGGGACACCCTGGCACAGGCTGCCCAGGGAAGCTGTGGCTGCCCCATCCCTGGAACATTCAAGGCCAGGTTGAACAGGGCTTGGAGCAATCTGGGATAGTTGAATGCATCCCTGCCCATGGCAATACAAGGTCTTCAAGGACTCTTCCAGCCCAAACCACTCCAGGATTCTAGGACAGCTCCATTCCCAGGGTGGCCACAGAGGACAGTGCTCTCCCAGCCTCCCACCAGTGCAGGAGCAGGATCCTGGAGAAGCTGTCCCTCCTGGCACAAGGCTGACCTCTCCAGGCAGCCTCTTGCCCTCAGCAGCTGCTCCAGCACAGGCAAACACATCCTGGGAATGCTGCCTGTGTTGGGCCAGGGCTGTCCAGCCACGCCAGCCCGAACAATAGGTTTGAGAGAAACTGGGAATTCTACCAACACAGGCTGAACACAAAGACTTGCATTGTTTTAGAGCTTGTTTGGGGCTCTTTTGCTGTTCTCTGAAGCATACCCTCATGGGCCCTGGAGCCAATATTGCAGGCTCTGCTCTGACATCCCTCCAGCAAGGTAATGGGGCTATCATACATCACCAGTCATGGCAGAGAGCAGCACATGAATCGTGTGGCAGTCTGGGTTTTCCAGGCACTCAGGCTCACAGGGTGTTCTGGGAGCCGCTGCTATCCTGGGGTGCACAGACACACAGAGCCCTCATCCTTCCATCCACACCAGGACCACCTCTTCTGGAGCAATCCACCATTCCACAGAGCTTCTGCACCTCAGCCCAGGACACTGGAATACTCAAACGGAGGCAAACAGCAACACACCCATCCCAAAATCACCCCAGCAGCTGCTCCAGCAGCAGGTACAGACCGAGGTGAGTGCACAGATGTGCCCAAAGCACTGCCAGCCCTCTTCAGAACCAGCACCAGTCCTCCAAAAGCCAAAATATATGCTATTTAACACAAACCCAGCTGAGCTGGGAGCACTGGCACATCACAACTCAGAAACAGGAACACATCTCAATTACTTATTCACAGTTATCTGCCCCATCCGTTAGTTTCACCACAAACCTCTTTTTTTTCCTCCTAAACTTTCCATCATTACCATTTTAGCTCTTGCTTAAAAAGCCACAATCTCAGCTCAGCCACCTCTTCCCAGGAGTTTCCTCACTACTGCCACCTTCCTTTCCTTTTTGCTTAACGTTTTGACTAAAAGCAGCCCAACATGAAAATGCCCAGAACCAAATTTACAGGTAGCTTGTGACCAGTTGAGGGGAGGTTGCCACTGGACTCTAAACTGTATTTTCCAGACTAAACACAGTTGTTTATAGCAGCTTCCATACTCAAACACAATAACAGCTTCTTTGTCATTCCTAGCCTCTTTGGGAATCCAGGACAGTGTCACAGCTCCGTGTGGGAGGATCACTGCTTGCCCAGCATACCTGTGTGGCTGGTAAGCGATGCCTGGCAGGTGCCGTGGGCACCCTGGTTCAGCACACCCTGCACACTGCCAGCCCAGCCAGCTGGCACCCGCTCACCCAGCCCTGGGGCACCAGCATGACCCACACAGCCCCAGAGGGGAACAGCCCCACCAAACAGGGCTGGTTTGCGCCATGGAGCACCTGGGACAGGCCCCCAGTGTGACCCACACAGACCCAGAGGGGAACACCCCACCAAACAGGGCTGGTTTGCACTGTGGAGCACCTGGGACAGGGCCCCAGTGTGACCCACACAGACCCAGAGGGGAACAGCCCCACCAAACAGGGCTGGGTTTCACAATGGAGCACCTGGGACAGGCCCCCAGTGTGACCCACACAGCCCCAGAGGGGAACAACCCCACCAAACAGGGCTGGTTTTCACTGTGGAACACCTGGGACAGGGCCCCAAGGGTGCAGCCCCACACATTCACCCCATTTCACAGCAAAGTGTGAAAACAGGCCCAGCACATCTGCCACAAAAGTAACTGGAAAATGGCCTGGGTGCAAATGAGATGTTAATACCTCAAACCAGGAATTCCAGAATGATTGGGGTGGGAAGTGACCTGAAAGTTCATCTCCACCTTCTGCTATCCCAGGCTGGTCCAAGCTCTGTCCAACCTGGCCTTGGACACTTCCAGGCATGGGGCAGCAGCAGCTGCTCTGTGCAACAAGAGAATTCTCTACTTCCCAAATAAGTAAGTTACTGGTTTGTGGATTTGTTCGGTAGTATTTTGTAAGCTCATTTCCACTTTCCAGGTTATAAATGTCTCTGCTGGAGTCACTGTCTGTTCACCACCACAGAGGATCCATACCTTTGGATCATATGCCTTACATTTATCCCATTCTTCTCATATCTGCTATGTTTAGTTATTCTCCTGGAATTCAAAAGGAAAAAGGATCTGCTGTTACAGATCTAACCGAGAAAGCTGATGCCCAAAACTGTGCCAGACAGAAAAAAAAGCCAAATAACCACTGACAAAATACCATCTTGCCTCAAACACCACCTCTTTTCCCATTTTTCTTTCTCCTTTAATTATTTTAACGACTACCATGGCTACAAAAGCAAGACTTCAAAAGATATTTTCAATTATACTTTACAGTCAATTTTAGAGTCATGCTTGCATCAAGTTCCAGCCAGAAATCTGTCATTCCATGCTTTGTGAACACCCAGCTGGATCTCTTCCAGCAGAACACCTTCCCCTTTTGGTGTTCTTTTTAGGAGACACTTCTCAGCACACCCCAAAATCCAAACAACACCACATGGAACCAGCCCCAGACTCATTCTGATGAGAACTAAGCCCTGATGAGAAAACCCCCACAATACCGAAATATGGGCTACAACAGGTTTAACAGGGGATTTTCAGGCGCACAGAGAACACAAAACACCCAATTTGCACAAAATCCTAGGAGAGAACAGGCTGGGAAAGCCTCCCTGAGGTGAGGGGAAGGGGAAGAGAGCCAGAGCCCAGGCTGGGGCTGCTGCTGAGCCTCTGGGGATGACCCAGAGCTGCTGCCAACTGCAGTGGGAATTGCACGGTGAGAGCTGAGCACACCAGGTACCTCTCCAAGCCCTCCCCCTCCACAAAATCCACCCCAGCTGCTCAGCACACAACATGGAGATGATTTTATACATTTTTATCAAACCACAGGAGCTCATTCCACTCAAATGCACCTCCTTGACCTGAACTATAAACTCTCCTTCCTTGCCAATGGTTAAGAAATGAACAGAAGTTCCTGAAGAAGGAAGGAATAAAGGCAGTCCTTTGGATCTGGATCACAGCCCAGCAGCTCTGAACACCACTGCACTGAGGCAAAACAGGCTGGCACAGCAGCACAGGGCCAGCACA